TAACCACACTCTGGAATCAGGTCATCTACCTGTAGAAATGTTGCAGGCAACTATTATCACACTTCCCAAACCGGAAAAAAAAACCTACAATATGTGCAAATTATCGACCGATATCATTATTAAATGCTGACATAAAACTATTTGCCAAAGCTATGGCCAATAGAATAAAACCCTTGTATCTCCTGAACAGGCAGGGTTTGTCACAGGGCGACAGGTCGAGGATAACACCAGTCGAGCATTGAATCTTTTTGAATTAATGATGGTTAATTAATTAATATGCCTGGCCTTGCTCTTGCTTTAGACGCAGAGAAGGACTTTGAACGTCTCCACTAGGGGTATATGATAGCTGTCCTACAAAAATACCGCTTTCCATGCAAATTCCTGCAGGGGTTATTGTCTTTATATTCCATGCAATCAGCTAGGGTGCTAAATGCAGGGTTTTTTATCTCGGAATGTTTTACTTACTAATGGCACGAGGCAGGGTTGCCCCTTGTCACCCTTAACATAGAAACATAGAATGTGACGGCAGATAAGAACCATTCAGCCCATCTATTCTGCTCAATTTTCTAAATACTTTCATTAGTCCCTGGTCTTATCTTATAGTTAGGATAGCCTTATGCCTATCCCATGCATGCTTAAACTCCTTTACTGTGTTAACCTCTACCACTTCAGCTGGAAGGCTATTCCATGCATCCACTACCCTCTCAGTAAAGTAATACTTCCTGATATTATTTTTAAACCTTTGTCCCTCTAATTTAAGACTATGTCCTCTTGTTGTGGTAGTTTTTCTTCTTTTAAATATAGTCTCCTCCTTTACTGTGTTGATTCCCTTTATGTATTTAAATGTTTCTATCATATCCCCCCTGTCTCGTCTTTCCTCCAAGCTATACATGTTAAGATCCTTTAACCTTTCCTGGTAAGTTTTATCCCGCAATCCATGAACCAGTTTAGTAGCCCTTCTCTGAACCCTCTCTAAGGTATCAATATCCTTCTGAAGATACGGTCTCCAGTACTGTGTACAATACTCCAAGTGAGGTCTCACCAGTGTTCTGTACAATGGCATGAGCACTTCCTCTTTCTACTGCTAATACCTCTCCCTATACAACCAAGCATTCTGCTAGCATTTCCTGCTGCTCTATTACATTGTCTGCCTACCTTTAAGTCATCAGAAATAATCACCCCCTAAATCCCTTTCCTCATATGTTGAGGTTAGGACTCTATCAAATATTCTGTACTCTGCCCTTGGGTTTTTACGCCCAAGATGCATTATCTTGCACTTATCCACATTAAATGTCAGTTGCCACAATTCTGACCATTTTTCTAGTTTACCTAAATCATTTGCCATTTGGCTTATCCCTCCTGGAACATCAACCCTGTTACATATCTTAGTATCATCAGCAAAAAGACATACCTTACCAACAAGACCTTCTGCAATATTCATAATAAAAATATTAAAGAGAATGGGTCCAATTACAGATCCCTGAGATACCCCACTGGTGACAAGTCCAAGCTTCGAATATATTCCATTAACTACAACCCTCTGTTGCCTGTCACTCAGCCACCCATTCAACAATATTGGAATCCAAACTTAAAGATTGCAGTTTATTGATAAGCCTTCTATGTACAACAGTGTCAAAAGCCTTAATGAAATCTACCCAATCAAAAAAATCAATAAGATTAGTTTGGTATGATCTCTCTGAAGTAAACCCATGTTGTCTCTGATCTTGAAATCCATGTGTTTTTAGATGCTCATCAATCCTATCCTTTAACATGGTTTCCATCACTTTCCCCACTACTGAAGTAAGGCTTACTGGCCTATAGTTGCCCGACTCCTCCCTATTACCCTTTCTTGTAAATGGGCACAACATTCGCTAACTTCCAATCTTCTGGGACTACTCCTGTTAACAATGATTGGTTAAATAAATCTGTTAATGGTTTTGCTAGTACACCACTAAGCTATTTTAATAGCTTTGGGTGTATTCCATCAGGTCCCATTGACTTATTTGTCTTTACTTTTGACAGTTGAAATAGAACCTCTTCCTCTGTAAACTCAAGAAATTATTTATTTACAAATATTACACACTTGTGAAAATGAAAAATAATATAACCACAGGTTGCAGTCCTGTCATAAACCATTTTGGTTGTCATTTTTTGCATTACTCTCCCTAAAAGACTGAGGATGACAGGCTTCACGGCGTAATCTATTTCACAGAGTAGAAAGATAAGTATGGAACCAAAGGTCCCTAAGTGGAGGAGTTATAAATGGAAGAATTAGAATTGACTCAGACCATTTTAGTACATCAGAATATGAGTCAACAGACAATGAAGGGGAAAGTGTAACTAGTAGCTCTGTACCAGTAGCACCTAAAAGTATACTAAGGAAAGGGGTTGATTTTTTAGGATTGAGACAGGCGGACAAAGTACAACATCCCAGAACGAGACAATCACAGAGAGGCAGGGGTCAGAGACAATATCGACGCTAGTGGCTGGTGATTTAAGGGTTATAAATTTATCCTCACTTACCCTAACAGACATACAAACTAAAATACTCTCCAAAGGTTTATCCTTTGTACCTACCCCCCTTTTTAATAAATTCATGTGGACGAAAGACCTGCATTTGTTCGCCCGCAAGTTAGCTTTACATAAGTATCATACACATAAAAAAGAAGTGAAAGCATTAAGCTTAGGACTTACAGTTACAGACATGGATTGCTTAGATACTTTGATTGAACTACTTGATTCTAATGACCCTGTAGACAACATCCCGACCACGCACCTTGCACCTAAGAGCCGATTCACCCCCCATCTGAAAGACTGCAAAAATATTGAAGTCTTTTTGGAGATGGTATGTAGAGATATTGAAAAGGCAGACTTGGGAGATCAGAACATTAAAATCTGTGGTAATCTCACTAGAATGGAAAAATTGGCATTAAAACAACTGAATGAGAATGATGATTTGGTAATTAAACCATCCGACAAGGGCGGGAATATAGTGCTTATGAATCGGTCTAACTATATCCAAATGGCACAGCGCTTACTGGATGATAGGGAAACCTATCAGATCCTTAGTCACGACCCCACCTCACAATATTCTGTTGAAATTAAAACTTTGCTGAACCAAGCTTTAATAGACAAACTCATTACTAAAAACGAGTTTGACTTTATGCTGGTTAAACAGCCACTACTTTCAACATTTTATAGTCTACCTAAAGTGCATAAATCCCTTGATAATCCTTCAGGTAGACCAATTGTGTCGGGATGTGGCAACCTGACTCAGAATTTGAGTATATACCTAGACAAAATCTTGTCCCCTATTGTGTCAAAATTACCTTCTCATATAAGGGACACTAAGCAGATGTTCTTATCCATACCAGAGCAAGCTTTGTTATGTAGCCTGGATGTGGAATCCTTGTATAGCTCATATGAAGGGCATTGACAACGTCAAAACCATCCTAGAACAAGAGCTTCAGTCCCCAAATCTCTACATTGATTTCGTCTCAGATGTACTCAGAACGGTACTGACTAAAAATATTTTCCTATTTAATGGCAACATTTACCAACAAATAAAAGGGACAGCTATGGGGACTTCCTGCACCCCTTCTTATGCGAACCTTTATTTAGGAACTTGGGAGAATAAAATCCTAAAGGCGCCATACTTACGGAAATATTCAGAGTCAATAGCATGCTGGAAAAGGTACATCGATGACGTACTAATTGTCTGGATGGGGTCTACTAAGGATTTTGAGGATTTTGTCAAAATCCTGAACAAAAATGATTTTGATTTGAGATTTACTAGTGAGCTAGGTGGCAACCAAATTAACTTCCTAGATATCACCATCACAATAAAGGAAGGGGGACTGGTACAAACAACCCTGTTCAAGAAACATATGGCCACGAACAGTCTCTTGAACTGGACTAGTTACCACCCACAACCACTCAAGGCTGGTATTCCAATTGGCCAGTACCTCCGACTAAGACGTAATTGCTCGTCCACACAGGACTTTAAGACCAAAGCCTGGGAGCTAAGGAAAGCCTTCAAGGACAAGGGATATCCGAATAGGGTCCTACGGAGAGCATACGCTAGAGCCATCAAGACTGACCGAGACACACTTCTCATTGATGAGAATGCACAATCAGAAGATAAAAAACTGATTAGATGCATTGCCACATATGATGCGGGGTGGGACTATATGATGGACACACTTAGGCGTTACTGGCTGATCCTTAAGTCTGACCCACATCTGAAACATGTAATTACCTCCTTCCCCTCAGTTACGGCAAGGAGGGGGAGTAATTTCCGAGCATTTTTTTGACCAATCAATGGGCCGACAAGACGGCGGGGTGTGTAGACGCGGTGGATACACAACAGGTGAATTGTCTCAAGTTGATTGCTACAATCCCCATATAAACGAGCACAAAGCTATGCAGAGGCTTACTACTCCTGACGACGGCGTGTTAGAACGCTGAAACGCGCGTCGAGTTTTCATTTATTTATTTTATTTTCAGTTTGTTCACTTGGGTAGCACTTATGGATTAGTTATTTTAGTTAACTCATTTTTTAGCTACTTAGCCAGGAAGGCAGAAGGGTAATAGGTAGGCACTTGTGACTCTCACTGTGCCGAGGTATACAGTTAGGAAGTGTTCCTCCCCCTTCCCCCTCCCCTCTTTCCTTCCTCTGTTATTCCTCTCTCTACCTATCTTTTGACAACCTTACAGTTTGGAGCATTTTGACCCAGCTTTATTAGGTTTGGGCCATTTCTCTGTTAAGTAGTTGTTTTGGACCTGTATGTGTTTTTACACATCTATTCCCTTTGCCCTATCTTTCCTTCCTGTCTATTTTAATTGCCTATACCCTTAGGATTATTAAAGGTAGGGACCCCCTTCCATTTATAACTCCTCCACTTAGGGACCTTTGGTTCAATACTTATCTTTCTATTTATAATTTGTGGGTTATTCCCCAATAGGGAAGAGTTATCAGGGCTTTTTCATATAATCTTCTACTATTTCACAGAGTAGTCTTTTGAACACTTTGCAGATTATATTATGATTCAGCTGAAACACTGTATACGGCCACAAAAGGGTCATATCTGGACAAAATCACAAAGCGCAAATAAGTAACTTGAATTCCAGAGAGTGTAATCTCCTCTGTCTGACGCTGTCCTTCTACATGCTCAAGTTCTTTTTCCACACAATGTTCAAAATTTATTGGGTCTTTAGACATCTCTCTAGCTTCCTATGGAAAAAAGTTTTAATAGAATGGAAACCTAGAGAATTATCATTATTTGAGCAGTTATGCAGCTCTGAGAAACAGGGAATTATATCTACAATATATTCTATGATACAGAAAAGGGCAACAGAAGAAATATTAAAGCATTTTCAGAAAAAGTGGGCTGTAGGCCTCCATATACAAATCACAATTAAAGATTGGTGTTATATTTTCCAAAAAGTAAACTCGGTAAGACAAGCCAAAAGGGAAACATTCTATAAAAGAGTAACACGCTGGTATAAAACACTGTCAACTTATATGTTCAAAATTTAGATAAGAAGTCTTGGAGGTGTGGACAGGAAATAGGCACTTATGAACATATTTGGTGGTTTTGCCCCAGAATGCAAGAATACTGGCAACATGTTATTGACTATATAAAACTTGTGCTACCCTTACACTTTACTCTGTCTCCCTCTCAGATATTGTTGGGTTGTCCAAATTCCTTCTTTGAGATCACTAAGCAGAAACTCATGGTTTCTACTAAATTAAGAAAATGCCTTAATACCTACCTTTTGAAAAAGACACTTATACCAACTATGGTTCAATGGGTTGACAGAGTTGAGAATACAAGAGCGATGGAAGAATTATATTAGGGAGCAAACAATTAAAAACAAAAATATCAAAACATATGGAATCCTGGATTAATTATTGGAACTCTGGAAAAGGGAAGTAGGAGGGATTATTTGCTATAAATTGGAGATCTTCATGTGGGATTACTATTAAATTGGAATTGTGATCTGTGATCTAGGAGTTTTGATTATTGATTTGTTTAAAGAGTAAGAATTAGACTAAACAAAGTCTTAATCTATTAAGATACTAACCACAGCTTTGAATATCTTTGTAAGCTATTTATTTTTTGGTTTTCTTCCTTTTTGTTTCATATTTCTTTTTTCCTTTTATTATGTTATTGTTTATTTCCCTGTGAGTATTAGAACTCTAACATATAAATGAGATTGTTATCATTGATACCCTTTCCCCCTCCTCCCCCCAAGCTGAGACAGGATAGGAGAATTAAATTTCAAAAAATAATAATTTGACTGTAGGCATTAAAGGCCCCTCCTCCTTCCATACCACAGTTTATTAAAAAGCACAAAAAGAACCCAAGAAACCCAAAGGAGGGTTCCTGATGAATGTGGGCTGTGTATGAGGGCTGCTTGTGGAATTGTGTGTGGATGGATATGTCACATTGTGTGTTTGGTGGTGTGTGTATGTGTGGGGTATTGCACGTGAGAGGCTGCGTGTGTGGTTGTGTGCATGTATGTGGATTGTTAGTGGTGTTGTGTTTGTGGGGATTGTGTGTATGTTTGTGTGTGGGCTGTTATTATTTGTATGAGGGGAGGGTTATTATGCATTTCTGTGTATTTCTAGCAGTGTGGGTGGCTTCCCTGGGTTCCAGTGGGGACCAGGCTGGCCAGGTACAGGTCAAGGACAGGGGCTGCAACAGCAGCTGCGGGTTGTTCTACTACAGTGTGGATTCCTATTCACAAGTGCCGGGAGGAAGTGATCTGAGATCACTTCCTCTATGTCCTGCAATGCATAAATTGAGGATTGTCCTTCACCACCTCTTCATATTAGCAGATATCTGAAGTTTTACTGGGTCTCCTGATAGCCATAGCCTGTTTGGCTCTAGCAGCCTTGAATGCCGTGCAAGTGCCATAGGTTGCCTAACCCTGCTGTAGAAGATAGATGGTAGTACGATTTCCTGAAGAAGATGGAATTTGGACACTGTTTTAGGCAGGAAGCCATTTCTAGGTTTGTGCACCACTCTGTCATGAAATATGTGAGTATGGGAACTCTCACAGAAAAAGGCATGTATTTCCAAGACTCTTTTTGCAGTAGTAATAGCCAAAAGGAATAGAGTGTTTTGAGTCAATATTGAGACAAATGGAGGTTCTATTAAAGAGTCTAGAACCAAAGGTAAATCCCAAGGAGAAGAATTTCTTTTAGATGGTCTAATGTGCAAGGCAGTTTGAAATAATCTTGAAATTAGAGGAACTGAGGCTATATGCTAAAATTACTGACGCTAATAGAACGTGTTTACCCTGAGGAAATCTGTTTTAAAGACTAAACGCTTCTCCTTAAGTAACATACAACAACATTTAATTCAAGGGTATGAACCAATTGCTTCCAGAACTTTATCGATGAGCCTTATCGAATTGCCCTTCTTCCAAGTTTTAAATCAATAAAGCAGTGTGTGTTGTTTTGAAATAGTGCATCAATATATGCTGAGTGGAATCACTCATCTGGGAACTCTAACCCTACATCTACCCCTAACCCTACCCCTACCCCTACTAGGGTTAGGGTTAGGGGTAGGGTTAGGCGTAGGGCTAGGATTAGGAGTAGGGTTAGATTCCTGTCATCATTCCCTCAAGTTTTCCTGTCTCTCTTGTTTTGCCACTTTTCAGAAATCCGAAGCACTTTGGCAATTCGGTTCAGAACTTCCAAAATTTGGGACTTCAGCAATTCAGTTTGGTTTGGCACTTCCGAAATTTGGCGCTTTGCCAATTCGGACATGCTGAAAATTTCCCGAATTTAAATTCGGACCAAAACAAATTGCACCTGTCTACTCCGAATAATTGCAAATCGGTTACCATTCGTTATCAAAGCGGTGTCAACGGCTTTTTCTATCTGCTGAAATCCTATCCTGAGGCAACTTAAGAGGAGTATTACAGAGGTAACACTGATGCTTCTCTGAAATACTCTGCTTGAAATGGACATATAACCCAGGGGATAACGTTAACAGGCATTTAAAGATGTCCATTGGGGAGGCATAGCTAGTACTCCCTATAAAAGCTAAAATTTTGCAGACATAATCAGTATTAATCACACAATACAGTTCAGTAAGTAAACTGAATTTAACTCAGTTAATCGTGCTCTTGCAGTTGTTTACAAATGAAGAGAGGCTGAACTTTGTTTGGTATGCCCATGGTACACATGGGAAGATGGCTAAATAAATGAAAATTTAGTAGGAAAACTGTCCTTCTGACTACGGAGAGAAAAAAAAGACTATAGTAAGGATGGCGCAGGGACCTTTTATCCCTACAGAGAAATTAATTGATTGTTTCCTGTCTTGTCTCAGAAGATGGAGGAGCTACCCATAAGTGATGCTTCCATGATTAGCTAGGAAAGAAGAATTAAGAGGCCAGGAACAATACGTGGTGTGTTTAGGAATGTGATGAGGTGGAGAGCATTATCTGAGTGATCTGACCAAGGGATATTATTTCCGTTTTCAAGACAATCCATAAGAACCCATTGGAAAAAAGGAATAAATCTATCCTTAAGTATATTCAGTGAGTTACTAAACATGTGCAATTTGTTTTGGTCCGAATGTGAATTTGGACGAATTTCGGGCAATTCGGACATTCGGGTACTTCCAAATTTCCGAATACATGAATTGCTGAAGTCCCTAAGTTCCGAAATTACCGAATTTCCAAAGTGTCGAAGTGCTGAAGTTGCGAAGCACAGTATTGCCTAAAAACTAATATACTTACCCAGTGGAAGAATGAAGAATGTTACACTGTATACAATTTTAAATAAAAAGTATACAAACATAGCCAGGATTCAGCTGTAAGCATTTGCAACACTTACAACAATCAAGTAACACACATTCATATAAAATGTAAGTTACTTAGCCAGTCAATGTAATGACAGGCATGAATAAGTAGATAACTCCCTAATTCCCACGGTATTAGGGAGCCATCTACTAAAAGGCTGAAAGACCTAAATTGGTCTTTCAGCCAAATTTACTAATACTAAGTAAAGCGGTTACTTAATCCACCAGAGTGCTGTGACAGGTAAATGTAGAGACTTACATGTATAAATAAGAAAATTATTCTCCATTCATTAGGGGTAATAAAAATATGCACTACTTGCAAAAACATAATGTTCAGGGATAAAAAACATTTTATTAGTGGGGTAATAGATTCTTGATACAAGGAGAAACAATGGGTCTCATTATTATGATGAAAACATTAAGATTCTAGATTTGGGAGTCCAAGTCCTCCCTCCATCTTTGGACGAACTATAAGGGTGTATGCCAGTCTGGGATGCTATTCAGACCATATTAAATGCAGTGAAAAGTTTGCGTGCTATGAAGAAAAATGATTTGAGGATAGGTAGTCCTTGGAGGAGGTAGAGAAAGAATAGCATATTCATTTTAAGATCTTGAGTCTACAGAACCACCTGAAGTAGGGTTAGTGCCACATCCTCCAATCCTGGGGGACTGATTGTAGTAATAGAAGGAAGCTTAGGTTGTAGAGTTGTCATAGTGTGCTAGGTAGAAAAACTCATAAATGTTTAGCTTTATCAACCCATGTGAATGAAAAAGATTTCTAGAGAAAGTTTTCATTGTGGAAGGTATGTTTTAAGCTAGAATTTCACATTTAGTTAAATTGGCTTGAAAGGTCGAGACATGGTTATATACTGATATTTCATGTCGAATATGGATTAGTTTACTCCGGGGGTTAGAGACAGTGAACAGCAGGTCATCGGCGAGACTTTGTATTACACTCCTGCAATTCTGAAGCCCTGACGGTGCGGGTTGTCTTTGATACCTAGTAGGAATGGTTCTAAAACCAGGACAAAAAGGAGTGGGAACAGGCGAGGACAGTTGATTCATTAGATTTTTTTTTTTTTCCTAAAATCCTATTAAGATCTAAATGTTGCAAATTTTTTCTCTGCACACTAACCAAATGTATAAATGAAATACATGTAATACTAAAAAAATCAGCTGCTATACCTCCTCAAGAAAAGAACAATATCTTCATATTGTGTTATGTTCAAGATATGTCCTGTTTTAAAAATAATTTTGAGTTGAGTTTGGGAATCATCAGTTTACAAATTATGACCTTAACATATAAGAATTATACATAGATATTGCAAATATAAGATAAATAGGAAGTGATTTCTCTACAGAATTTGGACAAATTATGGGTTGGGTATGCAAGTGGCAAACATGATGGAATGTACATAAATGCATACTGTTTTTTGGGAGTGGTGTAGGGGAAGATACCCTTTCCCAATCTTGAATTATTGTTCCCACTCTACAGGAGCTCTATCTAAGTCATGCATTTCAATACCCTTCCTATTCTACTTGTTTTCTAATGGTGAGCTGGTGAAATGAATGGGTGTCAAGAACTATGAGTCACATACAACACTGGTAAAGCCTGTTTTGTTTTTGAAAGATCTGTCTGAAGAAATGTTTTAACAGAGTCAACCCTTGTTACCTGTTCTAAAAGAACAGGGCTATTTTACAAAAATGTAAAATGCCATGAATTGACCAGGGATTTTCATTCAAATGGCTCAGTTAGATTTTTATTTTAATCTAAAATTTTCTTCAGACAATTCACAGTTTATAGAGTGTTATTCACTAAGCGCAGAATAGTTACCTAGCTGAAAAGAGACTTGCGTCCATCAAGTTCAGCCTTCCTCACATTTTGCTGTTGATCCAAAAGAAGGTCTGAAGCACTTCCAATTTATCAACAAACTAGGAAAAAAATTCTTCTTGACCCAAAATGGCAGTCAGATATCTCCTTGGATCAAGCAACTATTACCGCACTAATTAGAAATTATATCCCTGTATGTTATGTTTTTGCAAGTATTTATCCAATTGCAGTTTAAACATCTATATAGACTGACAAAACCACCTCTTCTGGCAGAGAATTCCATATCCTCATTGCTCTTACGGTAAAAAAAAAAAACCTTCTTTGCCTTAGATGAAATCTCTTCTCTTCCAGCCTAAATGTGTGACCTCGTGTCCTATGTATAGCCCTGTTTATGAATAGATTTCCAGATAAAGGTTTGTACTGGCCCCGAATATATTTGTATAATGTTATCATATCCCCTCTCAGGCGCCGTTTTTCCAAACTAAACAGATTTTAATTTTTTAACCTTTCTTCATAATTAAAATGCTCCATTCCTTTTATCAATTTTGTAGCTCATCTCTGCACTTTTCTAGTGCCATGATATCTTTATTTAGAACAGGTGCCCAAAATTGCACAGAATATTCAAGGTGTGGCCTTACCAGCAATTTATAAAGAGGCGAAATTATATTTTCATCCCGAGAATTTATGCCCCTATTTATACATGACAAAACCTTACTGGCCTTAGCAACTGTAGATTGACATTGCATTTTGCTGTTTAATGTGTGGTCTATAACAATTCCCAAATCCTTCTTGTGTGTGGTTATCTCTAGTTCACTACCATTTAGGGTGTAAATTGCTTGGGCATTCTTAACCCTAAGTGCATAACTTTGCATTTATCTACATTAAATTTCATCTGCCATTTTAGTGCCCAGTCCCCCAATCTATCCAAATCCATCTGCAGCAGAGCAATATCCTGCTCACATTTTATTACTTTACAAAGTGTTGTGTCATCTGCAAACACTGAAACATGGCTTTAAAAACAGAATTATACAATTAAGGCTAAAATAACAGATAAGGGAAACTGTTCCACCTTGGCTAATGACACAGCATGGCTAGTGGAGTCTAAAAATATCAAAGTTTTCTGTTTACCACAATAATGTTTAGTGAATAACCTTTTGTATATTCCTGCTCCATTATTTGCTTTGGCTCATATACAAATGTTGTTTTCCTGTGGGATTTGCCCAAATTTACAATTTGTTTAATGTAAATCCACTTTGAAGCCTACTGACCTGTTTAATGTTGGTGTCTTTTTCTACTTGTGACTCACTTCATGTTAGTGTTCCTTTTTAATTTTTTTAACAGTTTACCAATTTGTTTAAAACAGTTGCACATGTTATTAAAGAAATACGCCAAACACATGAAGCACTTCTACATGGTCTTCCTGACTGTCAGACAGCCGGTCCTGTTACTTATTTTAGTGCACTGGAATGGATCTCCTGAGGCAGGCAATTTCCCAAAGCCCTTGCCACGCAAATCCAGCTGATTGAGAAGTCTGTGATTGGACAGCCATAGTTCCTGTGCCAGTGTTTGTGCTGGAGCAGAAGGGGAGGACTTGCAATAGCAAGGTGCTAGATTTGCAGGTACAGCAAGCCAAGATTCCATATACTCCCAAAGAAAACATGCAAAATAAATGACATGCATATTTATTTTTTTAACGGTATTCCTTTGAAGTAAAGGAATTTATATTATAATATTCCTCCAAAAACAGGTCTCATGCATTAACATGAAGATAGATTAAAAAAAAACAAAAAAACAATAAGTGTAAAACATTTAAAGATACTCATACAATAACAATCATGGAAAACCCGCAAACAAGCATTTTTCCCTACTGTCAAATACTGTACATTAAAGTATGGGGCTTTTGAACATACATAATTTCAACACATTACAAACTGGACCGGTTGTAAATACACATGAAAAATAAAGATAAGGATTATGAAATATGCCTTTATGGAAGTATCCAAGTTACAAGAGTACGTGGCAACCCAAAAACAGAATACACGTGGAAATATACATTTCTAAAGAACTTAGAAACAGTTATTCAGTTATCTAACAAAACCATTAATCATACACAAATGTATGAATAATATTGACAGTTGTATATAAAAAAACACAAAAAAAACCAAAAAAAACCCCAAAACCCCCCAAAACAAAAAACACTTTACACTGAATTTTACAACTTAGTTTTTTAGTTTGTTATACAGCAGCAATAACGCCTTCCCTTCGTTTGTGCAATTTTGTCGGTTCAATTAGATCATTTTGTTTGTAAAACAATTCTATATTTCAGTTTTTCGTTCTATGTAGAGTTTCCAAGATAACATGTCAATATTTGGATACTATATGAACTTAAGGATGATCTTCCTGTATTTGACCTGGGGCAGAATGTAAATTTACTAGTGGTGCTTAAAACTTTCTTCCTGGGTTGAAGGACAGCTTTAAGATGGTGCACCATAGAAAGAAAATATATTTAGATATAACAAGGTAAAGAATCCTATTTTCAAAGAAAATAATATTGGCAGATGTGTGTTGAAATCTGCTGAGTAGAACTTTATTCTATAAAGTTTCATCCAGCTATAATGGTTGTGATGATCATACAATAACACTGTCAAAGTGCAGACGGTTTAAGTAAAATAACTGGTACACGACCTCTAAAAAGAACAAAAAAAACAAAACAAAAACATAATACTAAACATCAATAAAATATTAATGACGATTTTCTTATTACACATGTTTGTTGTAGATCTGTTATTGTTGAGGTTTCATAATAAATCCTTCTCGTATAAGAAAATCATAAATCTTGCGAGTCTTATTCACATCTATCTTAATAAGAGTGCGAGCCTGTGCCAGTCGTAAACTTCCTTGCTTTCTGCACTCATTCATTAGTGCTGCTTTGTATTCCAGATAAGCACCAGGAACCAATCTCACCACTTGACAAAGCTGCAAGACAAAAGAAATTACATTTTTGACTTTGTGTATTTGGTTATTGCCAGTTTTTGAGCATTAGCACCATATTATTGGGGGGAATAAAGACTCTGGGACTAAGTAACCTAGAAAATGGACTATAACGGAATAAAACAAACAGGAAAAATAATTTGAGTTGTGAGGTTTTTATAAAGAGTTTCAATCTACTAGCTTTCTTGAATGAGAGAAACGTACATGTATGTAAGGGAGCACATCAAAAGTCAGATCTTGGTAAAAGTATGTTTTGGGCACAGGAATTCTGACAAACCATGTGTCCATGTTTCAAGAACGTCCTGCTGGAAATACAAATGAGCCCAGGCAAGCTTTGTGTTTCAGAGTATATCTTGCATTTCTTCCGGCTACTTTTGCAATGAAGCACATTTTAACCATAGTTTTTTTTTCGCAGAAAAAAAACAAGACATTCAGATTGCAATATGGCACACACATCAGTTTACAGAGAAAGTTGCGTTTCATCACGGTAATATATCGTATAGCAGAGAGGAATATACAGACAATATAAAAGAGAGTAGAGTAACAGCATTTACATATAACAATATTTCAGGGCGTTCATGATCAAGTGGTTATCGAACATTCAAGAGAATGCAGTAGTAGTCATAAATGCCTCTCTCCACTTTGTGATAAATTGGTTTATATAAAGATTAAAATGCCAGGTATTAGTTGGGTATAATACTCTGTCTCAGGTCCTGAGGATTTTATACCTTTTAGAAAGTAGCGGAAAAAGGGGTTTCGGTAAAGAAGAGGGAGAAGTAGTTAGAGAAAGAGGAAAAAGGAGAAAAGTAGTGAGAGGTCCGGAGGTCTCTGGTCGGCAATGGCGGAAGGAGCATCTTCTAGGAGAGGTGGGTGGGGGGGCAAGATTAGACTTTGGTGCAGCATCAGGGGCCTTTTTTATTAGTTGTCCTTCTAGTCTTTCCATGGCTCCCAGACTCTAGAGAAAGCCTTCATGGATCCCTGAACTTGTGCAGTCAGTTTGTCCATAAGATACTTTTCTTTTTTTTGAAGGACCATGTTTATGGGAGGTGTGGTTGAATAGGGCCACGTTTGGACTAGAGCCAGTCGAGTGGCCAATGCAATTTTGTTAAACAATTGCTGTTCAGCCAGAGTCCAATCATCGATTGGTTTGGGTAAGAACGTCCAGGGGTTCAGGTCAACATGTTTAGGGATTGTGATACTTTTTTCCTTTGCATGTCAAATTGTGTTAATCCATAGGGGTAAGTTTACATATCTCTAGCGCTTGACATATACACAAGTGGTGGTTTTTATTATCACAATGTCCTCCTACACTGTGTGTACACTTACTTTATATACAGGGAGTGCAGAATTATTAGGCAAGTTGTATTTTTGAGGATTAATTTTATTATTGAACAACAACCATGTTCTCAATGAACCCAAAAAACTCATTAATATCAAAGCTGAATATTTTTGGAAGTAGTTTTTAGTTTGTTTTTAGTTTTAGCTATGTTAGGGGGATATCTGTGTGTGCAGGTGACTATTACTGTGCATAATTATTAGGCAACTTAACAAAAAACAAATATATACCCATTTCAATTATTTATTATTACCAGTGAAACCAATATAACATCTCAACATTCACAAATATACATTTCTGACATTCAAAAACAAAACAAAAACAAATCAGTGACCAATATAGCCACCTTTCTTTGCAAGGACACTCAAAAGCCTGCCATCCATGGATTCTGTCAGTGTTTTGATCTGTTCACCATCAACATTGCGTGCAGCAGCAACCACAGCCTCCCAGACACTGTTCAGAGAGGTGTACTGTTTTCCCTCCTTGTAAATCTCACATTTGATGATGGACCACAGGTTCTCAATGGGGTTCAGATCAGGTGAACAAGGAGGCCATGTCATTAGATTTCCTTCTTTTATACCCTTTCTTGCCAGCCACGCTGTGGAGTACTTGGACGCGTGTGATGGAGCATTGTCCTGCATGAAAATCATGTTTTTCTTGAAGGATGCAGACTTCTTCCTGTACCACTGCTTGAAGAAGGTGTCTTCCAGGAACTGGCAGTAGGACTAGGAGTTGAGCTTGACTCCATCCTCAACCCGAAAAGGCCCCACAAGCTCATCTTTGATGATACCAGCCCAAACCAGTACTCCACCTCCACCTTGCTGGCGTCTGAGTCGGACTGGAGCTCTCTGCCCTTACCAATCCAGCCACGGGCCCATCCATCTGGCCCATCAAGACTCACTCTCATTTCATCAGTCCATAAAACCTTAGAAAAATCAGTCTTGAGATATTTCTTGGCCCAGTCTTGACGTTTCAGCTTGTGTGTCTTGTTCAGTGGTGGTCGTCTTTCAGCCTTTCTTACCTTGGCCATGTCTCTGAGTATTGCACACCTTGTGCTTTTGGGCACTCCAGTGATGTTGCAGCTCTGAAATATGGCCAAACTGGTGGCAAGTGGCATCGTGGCAGCTGCACGCTTGACTTTTCTCAGTTCATGGGCAGTTATTTTGCGCCTTGGTTTTTCCACACGCTTCTTGCGACCCTGTTGACTATTTTGAATGAAACGCTTGATTGTTCGATGATCACGCTTCAGAAGCTTTGCAATTTTAAGAGTGCTGCATCCCTCTGCAAGATATCTCACTATTTTTGACTTTTCTGAGCCTGTCAAGTCCTTCTTTTGACCCATTTTGCCAAAGGAAAGGAAGTTGCCTAATAATTATGCACACCTGATATAGGGTGTTGATGTCATTAGACCACACTCCTTCTCATTACAGAGATGCACATCACCTAACATGCTTAATTGGTAGTAGGCTTTCGAGCCTATACAACTTGGAGTAAGACAACATGCATAAAGAGGATGATGTGGTCAAAATACTCATTTGCCTAATAATTCTGCACTCCCTGTAATGTTCTATAGGGGAGAGAGTCCCTATTTTGATGTGGTAGCTGCTATAAGCAAATTTTATTTCTATTTAATATATCATAAGCGCCTTATAGACACACATTCCTTCTATGTTTAGGGAGTATTTGGGCTATTAGTGTCTGGACCTCAGTCCAAAATAATGTTACCTTTGGGCAGCTCCACCACATGTGTTCATAAGTTCCCTTAGCTCCGCAGTCTCTCCAACAGAGATCTGTGGACGTTTTCTTCATGTAATACAATTTAACTGGTGTGGTATACCACCGGAACATCGTTTTGTAAGATTGTTCTTGCATTGTGACACAGATGGATGTTTTAGAGTTAGCTTTCCAAATATCCTGCCAATCAATACCCTCTAGAGCAGGGGTCCTCAAACTCTGGCCCCCCAGATGTTGCTGAACTACAATGCTCATGATTCTCTGGCTATCTATGTAATTCAAAGAATCATGGGAGTTGTAGTTCAGTAAAGGTGGGAGTAGAGCAGAGTGATCATGCCTTTTTAATACATTTCTGCATTGCATATTCGTTCAAAAAAAAGTTTTTGGAGATTTGGAGATATCTGAAAAAAATCTGACGAGTTAATGTTGATCTGTTTTGTAGTTCTGTAAAAAGACTATAGTATCTCCACTACATAGCTAATAAATCCTCTGGAGCCCAGCATGTTCTATGTCCCTAAAATCTCTGGCTCTCATGCCCGGGGCAAAAACTATGTTGCGATATATAGGGGTGAGAGGGGTGACCCAGATCAAGTTGGTCACAGATGGGCAGGTTGTACGGAGAAGTGCCCTATGCTCCCTTGGGGCCCAGATATAGAATTGCGGGAGATCTGCCCCCATCAGTAGGGATTCTAAATCCACCCGACGTCTGTCAGGGGGGAGGAGGAGGGTTAAACATAGCTTTTAAAACCAAATAATGCAGTTGAAGCACAGCAGTACATTTTTCCTTAATACAACATTGATACACAGCTATATGCAGACAGGTAAACTATAACTCCTGAGCAAAGTCCATTCTTTGGTTAAATAAAGAAAAAACAAAAACAACTTACCACAAAATCCTTATTTCTAAGTAGTTATAAGCAGTTGCTTCCATGTGCACTGCTGGACAGCAGCTACTAACAAAATCACAGAAAATTTAACTCAAATCTCATTATAATGAGCAACTAAACCCAAGAACCTGTGGACCTAAAATTACCGTGAGAATATATATTTATATAAGTCAATGGTTAGAGAGGTCTTATGACTTTTACTGATGATTAACAAGTTCATCATGGTCAATGGCTTCTTTTAGAAGATTGTGGAAAACTTCCTCATGCACCTCTTCTTTCTGATATTTGAAGGTTATGAATCAACTTGAATGTCCACATATCTTTTATTTCAATTGTTCTGAAGCCAAGTAATAAATGAGGACATTTCTGCCAATGAGGAGCTTAGTATATAAAGTCTGGGCAATCTATTTAAAAGACAACTGTCCAGCACTTAAGATGGAAGCAACTACCAATCAGCAAATAAAACTCCTTGAGAATAGGTGTCCTCTTTCCCACATTACAACCAGCCTACTGTTAAACATCTGCTCTACAGGATCTGATGGCTTACCCCAGGGTTTGACAAATTTGTTTGGAATCTAGGAGCCAGCTAAAAAAGTTAGGAGCCAGTCATTTTCAACAAGAAAAAAAGCAATTCTTAAAGGGACACTATAGACACCAAAACCACCACAGCTTGATGTAGTTGTTCTGGTGACTATATACCATGCAGGCTTTTCAGTGTAAACACTGCCTTTTCAGCAAAAATCAGTATTTACATTGCTGCTTAGTAACACCTCTAGTGACAGTCACTCAGATGGCCACTAGAGAATCCTGGGTCACTGGTGCACCATGTGCAGCACCGACGTTCATGGTCTCCAAGCTATGCATGGAGGCGCTGAATGTTCCTCATAGAGATTCATTAACTTAATGCATCCCTATGAGGAGATGCGGATTGGCACATTTGCTGGGCATGCACAAAATCCTGCTTAGCTGAGATCATAAAGATTGATAATCTCATCCACTGAAGTCGTACCAGCCACGGCAAAAGTGGCACGGTTTGGGGGGAAAAGGTCAGTAAAAACACATTCCTCGTACGATCGGAGGGGGCACGCGTGCACACAGACAGACACAGACTCACATTTTTGTATTAATTGAAACCCACTCAGCCTCCATACCTTTAGGAGAGCTGAGTGGGTCTTTCCCTGGGGTCCAGTGGGCCTTTTCTCTTTCTGCAGTACTCTTACTGCAGCTCCTCTCTTCTCCCTGCTCGCTCTCTGTAAGGATGCCGGGACCGGAGTGACCTCATATTCCGGCTCCTGGCATCATTAAACAGAGCAAGGAAGCAGAGAGGAGCTGCAGTAAGAGTACTGCTCCCTCGTGCACCGCCTCCATGCTGCTTCGGCCAGCCGCCTCCTTGCTCCCGCGGGTGGCCCGTTGCATGCTGCCTCAGCTGGCCACCTCCTTGCTCCCGCGGGTGGCCGGCTGCATGCTGTCCAACGGCGGCTGCCTTCAAAGCTCCCTCTCTGCATTTGACCTATCTCCCCACACGAACATGGTTAAAAACAGATAAAAACATATCCATTATGACAGGAGGGTATCCCTGATGAGGGACACATACCATCCTAGGGCACCCCATTCACGACAAGACTCACCCTCACACACCTGGGACTAGACAGACAGTCACATTGGGGAGACCCCACAGACCTCACACCACACATACAAAATACGCCTCCATAGCTGGTTTTCAAACAGACTCATAAGACAACACATGTCCAAAGACAAACCCTAAGAAGGCACACTCACAGAATCCACCAGGTCTTGGACATGCCTGAAACAATAGACGACACCCCAACTACACAATTAATATGTAAAAAAGTGCTATGTGTATATGTATGCAGCTACTGTATTAATATATGTTGCTAAGTATGCCTGCATAAACTGTTGTGGCAATGTGGACATTTCTGTTGAATCGACACAACAAAATAAAGAATAAAAAAAATTAAAAAAAAAGAAGCTCCCTCAGCGGCCACGTTAAAGAGCTGGCAAATCCCAGGCGCAAGTGGAAATTTGTATTTGCCGAGCCCTGGCTTACCCTGTTTACTGGAAAATTCAACCAATGGTTAAATTAAATAAAGAAAATGTTCTACAGCAAAATTTGCATAATTTTGTTTCACAAATAACTATTGACTAATACAAGCTGGCATACTTTAGCCAATTGATTTATCTAGCACACAATTTATTCTGTATTAGGGTTTCGAGGGTTTTCACAAAACAGCAAGGATTTAAAACAAGCCTGTAATGTATTACACTTTGCCAACACAAAGCTCTAAATGACAATTATGATTGTTTAAAATACTAAAACAAAAAAAAAACTAAATCGAAGAGATTTTTGATGAAGTAAGCCCTTACTCTTACATGCTAAAACAAGAATATACTTATTGAAAGCACATGCATTATTGTCTATTAAACACGAGAAATCTGAACTTTCAACTAATGTCATACCTCCTTTTCTTTTTCATTCAGCTTTTCAGTACCAGGAAGCCCGGTTAGGTCTAAAGGAGGAGCACTTCTTCTGCCTGCAAGACAGACACATTTAGGAAATACAATACATCACAGCAACATGCCTTAAAGGAACACTCCAAGCATCATAACCACTAGAGCCTACAGGAAAAATGAAATTTAAAATTTAGGCCATAATAGGAGATGAGAAAAAACAAAAACTCAAAACCAGACTACAGTCATAGCTTAGCTTACATTTTACAAACCTGTTTTCAGTTAATTTCTGTTCAATTCCACCTTACACCTTTCTGTGCCTTTTCATGCAATTGTATATAGTTATGAATCCAACACCCACTTTCTTTTTTTTAAAAGCTTCCAAGACAGATGCTTCCATCAAAACTTCCAAATAAACTAATGCAGGGGATTGATTGTGTAAACTACATTAAAGGATCAATAAGTCATCACAATGAAATTTTAGGAGTGCAGTGGTCCTGCCATTTTAACCCTTTAATGTAAACCATTGCAATTTAGCAGCTACATCAATGCAGGATTAAATGCACCTCTAGTGGTTTGGTCTTCCTGACAAACACTAGAGGTGCTTCCTTCTCCAGAACGGAGTCTAGCACAGTCCTGGAATCAAATTGCAACATTTGATTGGAGGAGCGCAGTGTTTGGCTGTGCATGCCTATTTCTAATCAATTGTTCCTCTAGGAGAAGAATTTTATTGGAGAAGATATGGTCTCATCTTTAAAGGTGGAGAAGGCAATTGCAGCAGAGGAGTCCTTGTATTGGAGACTATATAAAGAATCATTATTTAACTTTAGTTTGGTTTAGTGGCACAGTATGGAACCTATAGTCCTTTATAAAAAATAAAATAAAAAAAGGATTGTTCTTTTTGGGACTGTAGGCTCCCTTTAATATTTAGTGATGAAAGCATGAGGTGGCAATTGAAAACAGATATAACATTAATTGTATAATTACAGATAGCTATTGCTTACACAAACAATGTATAACAATCTTTGAGGTTGATTGGGAAGACAAACATTTAGTCCGTTTAAAAAAAAGATCATATAATAGAACGGTGACTCAACTCTTCAATGTGCACCAACAGTCCATTCCTGCTCCAATAGGGATACAGAGAAACCTGGACACTGGTATGCCTTGAGGATTGGATTTGAATACAAATGGAATAAAATAAACATACAACCCCCAAAAGATTATGCTCCACAGCATGTGTTTTGATGCCAAGAGATTAATGTAAATATGTTTTATCCAGCTGCACATGTTTGAGAATAAGGCACAGTATATTGACAACTTCAGAGATTTGCCTGAAATTTACCTGAACTAGATACAATGGGTGTAATTTGATGCACACCAGCGTCACTGAAAAGAAGAAGAAGAAGGATTATTTGGATAGACAAAATCAAATATGAAAACACAGGAGGATACATTCAAATCATAAACATATTTTAAATAACCTATATTAAATAAAAGCAATCCAGAGAAAAAGATAATTTGACATGTACAAAACCAGACACACACGAATGACTACATTTACATATTTTACAATTGCAAAGTTGTGATTATGCATTATGTTTTACAAACAAAATTCCAGATTTTGTTTAAAATTTCACTGTCCCCACAATTAGGAAATAAACTTTTTACATTCATATCCAAACTTAATCAAATGTGGTGGTCTTCTTGGTGGATACTCTGTCCAGTAGGAGAGCTAGGTGTGACAAAGAAGTCTGGGTATGACATTCTCAGTAGATAAAAGCACACAAGTATGTGCAAACAGGGTACTGGTCTGAAGAGTAGTTGCACAGTATAATAGACAACTGTGCAGACTAAGTAACAGAGTTGTGTTTACAAGCACCAGAAAGATAAAGAAATAAGTCAGCTGTTGCTCAGGGTCCTAACATAGGATAACTATACACAAAGATGAGACATGAAACGTGGTAGAGAACACTCCATGGAAGTAAAGGGCAGTAACATGTTATAATAGACTGAGAAAACGCTGCTGGTGAAATAAAGTATTTTCGATTTAAAAAAAAAAAAAATTGCAAATTCTAGGGATGTTGTATGATACTATACTCATACACATAAAATAATGTGTGCTAAACACAACGAGGCAGACAAGGAGGGAAAGTGTGTGGTCAGAGAGAAGAATAGTAGGGATACTAGACTGCACAGTACCTGAGGGAATGGGGGAACTTTAGCAAGCTGGTATGCAGCAGGGATAATGTCCTATCACTGTTCGTTAATGCAGCACTGTGAGGCAATGTTATATGCGCTATTGCCAAGGAACATGTTCACAGAATATGCTCTTTTCTTGCATGTGTCAATGTGATGTGCCGAACAAAGGAACATTTGTAATTGGGAACCCTACCACACATGAAAATTTCTAAAAAGTGTGCAAGACACGGAAATATAGCTCTGCATCACTTGGGAAACACTGATTACAAGTTGTCAAACTGTTTCCCACTTAAACATACAGTCCAAAATTGTATGCGGCCCCTGGAGAGCAAGATTCATTGATAAAACTATATAAATATGTTTGAGGGAAAGACCAACACAGGAAATTAGGACAACATAAAATTGACCATACATAGCTGCTTGTCTCTTGAGCCACTGTTGGCAAGCGTTGCCATCGTGAATATACTGAAGGACCTCAGAAAGCAGGGTTCTCTTCAAGCGTGCTTCGTCGCGAGTTTTTTTTAATTTGTCATATACTTTTGCACCTGTGATTAAAAGGACATAAAAACAAAAATCAGAAAATGTTTAAACCTGTTAATAACTAAATAGTCGAGGTGCACCCAGATATGCAACAAAAATAGTTAAAAGTGCATTCAGTTTAAGCGAGTTTCCTGTGCAATGCTTTCAAGTAGTTTTTAATGGCATCAGTAGCAGATATCCCAACACCATGGAGTATGTTTGCTGCATGTTGAAATTTGTCACAAGACTGGTGCCCAAATAATAACTATAGGCAATGTGAAATTAAGTCCTACCTCATTTACACACTCTTAGGGGTCAGAAACTGCAGATTCTCAATCTGAGAGCATATGAGAGAATAGGATCCAGTTGGTTTGCCTACATGCCTCCACAGAATATGGTCAGATAAAAACAATAAGCTTGAGGTTTTATCAGTATTGTGGTTTATCATTTTTATGAGGTATTCTTTAATTAAAGCAGCTATATTTGCTACTGCACCTGGTGGAGGCATTTAACTAAAAAAAAAGCAGAAAAAAAAAAGCCTCCACCGATTGGATCTTTTTCTCTTGTATATTTGTTGCTCCCACTTCTTCACCACACCTTGATTAGATTTGACGCTTTACATAGGTACTTGGGAAATTTGCACCGTTTCATTGCATTTACTTACTACAAAAAGTTTTAATCCCTGCACTTCTATAGTCCTGTAACCTCTTGATCTCCCTGCGCAATTCAAATTCCACTGAAAGAAAAACAAAACAAAATACACATGCTTGTAAAAGGTGAGAAATAAGGAGAATACATGTATAGCAGGGTACATGTATAATTTGCAAAAGAGATTCATTTTTAGGACCAGAATTGCACTAATAATGGTAAAATCAAGGATCAAAAAAAAAACAAAAAAAAAAAACAATTGTGGTGTGTGTTGCACTGACTACCACACACTAGCAGTTACATTATCAGGCACAAATGCTTATTAACACAAATAGCAGCAAACATACATAAATCGCTACTAAAATAAGTTGCTGTTTAACCAAATATAAGGATAAGGAAACATATAACTGACGAGACTAACTGTGGTGTGCTTATTATTGTTGGATAGGATTTGGTAGTTTTAGCATCTCATTAACCACGAGCGCTTGAAATTTTAGCACCATAGATATTCAACCTACAGATAAATAATATCTAGCTAGCGACAGCAAAAACATCTTGTTAATGAAAAAAGTCAGAAGAGCTATATTGATTTAAGATGGTTAAAAAGCCACAAATACTTCAATTCTTCTTACAAATGTGGTTTTAAAAAGGACGTTTCTGAATGTATTTAAAACCTGAAACAAACAGATGGATTACGGCAGGAGACACCATTGCTGGATTCCACTTCTCAACTAACACGAAAAATATGAGGCTACTGCAGGCATGTACAAAACTGTAAGAACTTGAGACATGCGCCAACTGGACTGACTGACGGTGGTGAAATGGCGTGGGCAAACATTTTCTAGACTGTAATTATGCCCCAAACAGGGCATTAGTTCAAAGCTACAGCAAAACTAAATGGGGTCTCTGATCTTGTGCATTTTGTTAAGCTCACAACACACTTGCTGAATTCATGACAAAAAAAATTGCTGTTTTGGTTGCAAAAGCCAAGTTTATTTAAACCACAAAAATATGTAACACAGCAAGAATGTGAAAGAAAGAGTGTGCGAGAGAATGAGGCAAACAAAAACACACACTAATACAATCACAGACAGACCTATTTGATTTATGAAACAGTAGCTTATCTAAATAAAACATAAAAAATTATAAAAAATAAATAACCCCCACAAACACTCCTAAATACAAGTATCAAAAAGTAAAGAGTAATACTATAATCAAATCAGTTGTACATAATTTAAAATTTTTACTTACAAGCGTGACTTTCAATGAATTTATCATGTTCTAATGGTCCCAGAACTCTGGCAAATCGTCTCATTGTGTCATACAGTTCTTGAATATCTTTAAGGTATCTTCTTTCCAAAACTAAGTGGAAATAGGATTACATATTTAAGGATGATTATAATAACGATGTAGAATTTGAAACAAAAAGAAAAACACACAATATAAATGCAATAAGTGTCAAATTGTTATAAAACTACCCACTTATTTTGCACGTAAAAATTAAAGACTTACTTTGAAATTTTCTGAGATTTATAAGACCATGTTCTCTTATAATTCTAAAAAGGGATAAAGTATGAAAAATTAAAAAAACAAAACCAAAAAAAAAAAAAACACATATTTACACAACTCTATAACAAAAAAATAAAGCCAACAATAAAAACAGATCTATTTGACCAGCAAACATACATTTACTATTCTATATGCACGTGCAGGAATCTAGAGGTTACTAATCAATTTAATGAAACTTTTAAAAGGACACTACACTGCCTAAACACAAAACCATAAGATAGATATACCCCAAATGAAAACTTGCATGCATTGAATTATGCATTTATCATTAGAGTTATATTTAAAAAAAAAAAAAAAGTCATCTGCATACTTTGAAATCCTTCCCCTTCTTTCCCAGCCCAGACATGTTTGGCTGTCCAATCACAGACATCCCAACGCAGCACAATGAGAATTCTTTGCAAGGCAGGTACATGGCAATTGACTGCCTTTTGGGTTTACAAGGAATCAACAGGACTGTTTGTCTGAATGACAGTCAGAACAGGTGGGGTGGAATGTAGCAAGGTTAAAGGGACACTCCAGGCACCTAGGGCAATTCAGCTTGCGGTTGTACTTTACGTGTGAAGAGTTTCCTTTTTTTTTTTTTTCATTTAACAAAATGTACAGGTTTCAGTAGAAAATCAGACAACTGGTCCTCTTGCTTCCTGGTAGTTTAGCTCAGTGGAGCCAAACTCAAGTGGCACACAGCGGCTCAGAGTAACCTGCTAGTAGAGGCGCTACCTGTGCTTTACAGGTTTATTTCTCAATTTACAGATTAGGGAACAGAGCACACAAGATTTTTTATTTAAACATTTTACAAAGTTACTTAATCACCCATCTCAGCAAAGAAATTTGGAACCCAGACCAGATTCCTATTGGGCTGAGCAACCCACTTAAGGTGCCCTTTGGAGGTATCCAAGGGAAAGCATAAATTCAGGAGAGTTTCTAGAAGAAGTTGAAGCAGTAAGCATTGAAGTTAGCATCTAAGAGTAGGACCTACCTATATTGGGGTACTGTGATGTTGTGGTGGGCTTAACACAATATGGCCATATGGTGTAGATTTTAAGAAGTCTTGTAATATTTAAAAAAGTATTTGTGTGTGTGTGCGCTGTTCCCTAATCTGTATTTTGTATATATTTTGTCCTTTATGGCAGCACTACAACTAAGAAATGCATGTTCCGGGTGTGCCCCCAATTCCCATTATTTCTCAATTTGCAGATTATGTGAAAGAGCCACTTGTTCTCATATAAGCAAACATATCACTGTTGGATGGCTTCAGTACATTATGTTAGAGCCTATTCATTGGTGAACAGAACTTGCAAGTAGTTCATCCAGCAAAAGCAGTATATCATTTCCAACACATATTTCTACAATCAATGGTATATCATTACTACCACCAACCTTTTTCTTCTCTGTCGTTCTTTCAGCCTGGAATGATAGATGTCCACAACTGCAATTTTCAAAGCTGATGTGAATCAAAATACAGAATAAAAAATATTAACAACAATGCGATTGATTATAAAAGCAAAATTGACATATCTCATGTTTTGATCGATTTAAATTTACTTTTAATTCATTTTAAATTCATAATTTATTTTACTGAGTAAACACTGCCTTTTCAGAAAAAAACATACAGACATTGCTGCCTAGGAACAACTTTGGTGGCAGCCTTAGACAGCCACTAGAGGTGCTTCCTGGGCCAATGTTGCAGTGTGCAGCACTTACATTCAACGTCTCTACAGAGATGCACTGAAAGTTCTCCACAGAGATGCATTGATTCAAAGCATCTCTACGAGGAGATGTTGACTGGTGCAGTGCTGAATTATGCCACGCATGCACAATAGCCTCTTAAGCATTGGGTTGGTGAAGATCGTCAAATTTGATGATCTCAGTCACGGAGAAGGAGCTGGTGCAGCGCTGGAGAAAAAGTAAGTAAACTAACTTTTTAAAGGCAGTAAGGGAGCCTAAACTATGTTTTTACAACTATAGGGTCAGGAATACATGTTTATATTAATGACACTATAACTTTCTTTTAAAAAAGCAAGTTCAGTCTAAATGATAAGGCAGGGATGTACATAACAAAGAGAGATATAGATATATATCTCTCTCTCTCTCTCCTAGGATCATTTCCCTTATGACTCAAAAGAGTCAGACAGGTCCTGAAGTCCCAGCTTAATTTCAAGAACAAGATCCAAGCCATCAACACATATGCCCTGCCGGTCATCAGGTAACCAGCTGGAATAATAATCCAGCCAAGAGGAGAACTGGTCACCATGGATGTCAAGACCAGGAAACTACTCACTATGAATGATGGATTCCATCCAAAATCCAGCACCCAGAGAGTATACACCTGCCTGATGAGTATCAAGGCCACAGTCCTGGATAAAACACAAAGCATCCACAAGTACATTACGAAGGGAGCTCCCAAAGATGAACTTCTAAGGGAATGCCTGAGACTTCAATAGATAGAGGATGAAGAAAAGGAGGAGTTTCCTTGGCAAGACAAACCTCTCTATGGGGTGTACCACCGGCAGATAGTGGATGTGGCTCACATGACAAAATCCTACCAGTGGTTGGAAAAGGCAGGACTGAAAAACAGCACTGAGGCACTAATCCTAGCAGCACAGGAACAGGCACTCAGCACCAGATCAATAGAAGCTGGAGTCTACCACACCAGGCAAGACTCAAGGTGCAGACTGTGCAAAGAGGCTTCTGAGACAGTCCAGCACCTACTAGCCGGATGCAAGATGTTAGCAGGAACAGCATACACGGAGAGACACAACCAAGTTGCTGGGATTGTGTACCGAAACATCTGCACAGAATATGGATTGGACTTGCCAAAGTCCAGATGGGAGATACCACAAAGGGTAGTTGAGAATGACAGGGCTAAGATCCTGTGGGACTTCAAGATCCAGACAGACAAGTGCTGGCCAACCAACTCGACATCGTAGTGGTAGACAAGGAACAAAAGACTGCAGTCGTAATGGATGTGGTAATACCCAGTGACTATAACATCAGGATGAAGGAATATGAGAAGGTGGAGAAATACCAAGGACTGAAAGAAGTACTAGAAAAGGATGTGAAAGGTAAAGGCAGTAGTAGTCAGAGTTGTGATAGGAGCACTAGGGGCTGTGACTCCCAAGTTAAAGGGACACTCCAGGCACCCAGACCACTTCTGCCCATTGGAGTGGTCTGGGTGCCAACTCCCACTACTCTTAACCCGGCAAGTGTAATTATTGCAGTTTTTTAAAACTGCAATAATTACCTTGCAAGGTTAACTCCACCTCTAGTGGCTGTCTACTAGACAGCCACGAGAGGGCACTTCCTGGTTCCTAGCACAGGAAACCTGTGCTAGAGCATCGCTGGACGTCCTCACGCTGTGTGAGGACATCCAGCGTCGCTTATTTCCCTATAGGAAAGCATTTTCAATGCATTTTCAATGCTTTCCTATGGGGAGCACTAATGCGCAAGCACGGCATTGCCGCGCATGCGCATTAGGTCTCCCGGCCGGTGGGCGGGATCAGTCTCGTCCACCGGCCGAATCAGTCAGAAGGAGGAGCGGCGCAGAGGGAGAAGCAACCGGAGATTGGGGGGTGGGAGGGAGAGGGAACCTGCAGTGCCAGGAAAATGGATTGTTTTCCTGGCACTGGAGTTTCCCTTTAAGGGAGTGGCTTCAACAGATTCCAGGTGGGACATCGGAAATTTCTGTCCAGAAGAGTGCAGTTCTAGGAACAGCTAAGATACTGCGCAAAACCCTCAAACTCCCAGGCCTCTGACAGAGGACCTGAGAATGAGGAATAAACATGACTCCAAAATTATTTTTTTTTCCCCTATTGTTATATACTTTTTTTTCTTCAAGCAATTACAAGAAAAAATGCTTACCATGCAATATATCTGAATCATCTTCAACAAAGTCAATATCCCTTAAGTCCCATTCTGCATAGTTATCAAATTCCTGAAATAAAAAAAAATATCTGAAAACATCCCTTATACATATTTATATGGAGGGTAAAAAATGATCACAACTTTAATATACAATAAGAATTATAAAGTACAAGGCTTACTTTGCATATGTATGGCAGAATCAAATTGATCTCCTTGAAATAGACCTGAACGTTATACATTTTGATGACAAATGTCAAGGAACATTGTCAGCATGCAGTGCTGTAAAAGTTGCTTCCAGCTACCAGCAAGCTCTATAGTCATCTAGATAGCACCATAACAGTATTAAAGATTTCCTGGACCTCTACAGCTAAAGACTAGTATGCATTGGGAGACCCAAAACTAGCAAATATAAATATTATTAATTAGCAGTTATCAATATTATTAGCATTACATAAGACATAGCCATACACAATTTCTTTGTAGGAGAACATGTATTATATTGTCTTTGACAAAATTTTTATATTTTTTAAACCAAGCAATATTCTGAATTATACTTTTTGGAACTTATTCACAACCTAATTAAAGGAACACAAACATATATTGCTGACCCTATAGTGCTAAAACCACTATCTAGCCCCTCCCCTCTGGCCTCCCTAAATATAGTAAAATCTTACTTGTACTCACGTTTGCAGCTGCTGCCTCTGCCCATGATCTGCCTGCTTGGCTGACATCATCAGAAGTTATTCTGTGAGTTAATCAAAATATTTTCCCATAGGATTGGCAGAGATTGTCAAGGAGGCAGATCAGGGGCCGAACCAGCACAAGTCAAACACAAGAAAAAAAAATAAAAATAAAAATTCAAAGAATGTAGCGCTTATAAAATAGACAAATTATCACCTTTTTATGTTCTGTTGGGAGATAAATTTTAATTTAAGTGTCAAAAAAGTGGATATCTAAAAGATATAATCAAACATAGTGTATGGTACATTGCCATAAGGTTATATTTGTATATGATTATTACACACTCACAAACGGAGAGCTATGGACCCAGCTCTGGTTTGAATCTCTTCTGGGTCCGTATAGGCGACCCACCCCTGCTGTGAATGTATATCTTGTCCTAAAAGGGAATAGATACACCCAAGATAGCACAGCACAGTTGGTGGTAGTATAACATAAAAATACCGTTCCCAAATGGGTACTTACAAACAGGGAGTCTAAATTGACTCAATTCTTGAGCGGTATGCAGATTAGGGACTGCACTCCCAAATGTAGAATGATGAATGGAGAACCAGGATGAAGAGTAAAAAAAGATAAACAAATTTATTAATACAATGTATAAATTAAAATAGGAACAATGTCCAAATAAAACCGGAATGCGTTTCACCACTGGGACGTGGCTTCTTCAACCGGATCAATGAGAAAACGCGTTCCGGTTTTATTTGGACATTGTTCCTATTTTAATTTTTAGATTGTATTAATAAATTTGTTTATCTTTTTTTACTCTTCATCCTGGTTCTCCATTCATCATTCTACATTTGGGAGTGCAGTCCCTAATCTGAATACCGCTCAAGAAGTGAGTCAATTTAGACTCCCTGTTTGTAAGTACCCATTTGGGAACGGTATTTTTATGTTATACTACCACCAACTGTGATGCGCTATCTTGGGTGTATCTATTCCCTTTTAGGACAAGATATACATTCACAGCAGCAGTGGGTCGCCTATACGGACCCAGAAGAGATTCAAACCAGAGCTGGGTCCATAGCTCTCCGTTTGTGAGTGTGTAATAATCATATACAAATATAACCTTATGGCAATGTACCATCTACACTATGTTTGATTATCTTTTTTAGATATCCACTTTTTTGACACTTAAATGAGAATTTATCTCCCAACAGAACATAAAAAGGTGATAATTTGTCTATTTTATAAGCGCTACATTCTTTAAAAAAAAAAAAAAATGTTTTCTTGTTGAAGTAGTTGGTGACATTGAAGGAGTCACAAGAATGTTTAGCTGCTCATCTGTATAAGATCACTGTATATACGCTAGTATAATATATTGTGAGAAAAAAGCGCTAGTCCTTATTCCTACTTTGCACAAGTCAAACACAGCCCTGGCCAATCAGCATCTCCTCATAGAGATGCTTTGAATCAATGCATCTCTATGAGGAAAGTTCAGTGTCTCCATGCAGAGGGTGGAGACACTGAATGGCAGTACTGCACAGTGAGCAGCTCTAGTAGCCATCTGAGGAGTGGCCAGTGAAGTTATCACTAGGCTGTAATGTAAACCCTGCATTTTATCTGAAAAGACAATGTCTACTGCTAAAACCCTGAAGGGAACGATTCTATTAACCAGAACAAAAACAATAAGCTGTAGTTGTTCTGGTGACTATAGTGTCTCTTTCAACAAAAGATAAGCGATATGGCTTATTTAAATATAAAGCAGTTGTTCATGTTTTTACAAATGTTTCTGATTATTTTTAAACATAACACAATATTATATAATCACTTTAGGTGTGTATGTTCCTTCCTCAAAAAAAAAAAAAAAAATGTACAGCATAACATTTCTTAGCAATTACGTTTTGTTCAACTGTTAAAATAACTATACAGTTATTTACGGAATTATTACCTCTATGAAGTCCGCTCTAGCTGGCATGTATCCTGCCATGTCCCTGGAAAGCAAGGATTCAAATGTTGGTCTTGGAGGATCGTCAGCAGCTAAAATAATAAAGGGAGAATAGTTACATACTAATCTGAACATTCGGAGCAGAGTAATGCATTTTTCATGGCATGTTAAACTGATGCTTTGGGGAGGCATGATCACAGGGAATTTCTTCTGGTGTACAAGGACTAATATTATGTCGGTTTAACTGGAATAAGTACAAGTAAGGAATGACAGCTTACACCTAGCTATGAAAGACACAGCAATGAGCAGCAAGGGAAATAAATCTACATGCTCCAACATGGCATACATCAGCATGTCTGTTGATCTTCAACATCTAAAATCATTTTCTGCTCAGGTGGTCTAGGTTCTCTCTGGGATCATCCTTGCCCAGATTTATGGAAAGCTAAAGCTTCTTATCAAGTCATTCAAAAAGTGTAAATATCTTATCTGTGCCACTAGATTAATCTTTTGCACATATCTGAACACTATGAGCTTGTCTTACGTTGGAACGAAATGGCTGTGTTCACATGCTTCTCTTCCTCTGCTTGCTTCAGACTGAGTAAGGTACTTGCAAAGAGCGGGTTGTTGATAAAATGTTTCATGTAGTGTTTTTCACAGTCGTCCTTTGTTTTTGTGCGCATTTGATTGGCAACATCTTGCCTTAAAAGGAGAAAATATCAGGAAATGGTAATGGGTGGGCACTACATAAACAATTCAAAAGAACTTTACATTTGATTTTCGTAATAAGTAATAACAAGTTATTACATTGACAATACATTGCAATAGAATCCGCACTATAATGGTACGATATTTTAATCCAGGACTGCACAGAGTCTGTTTTCATCTGATAAGGGTATCGTCATTAGCACTGAACGTTCAGCAATGTAGGCATGGTACTAATTTGTTATAAGCAAATCTCACAAGTTCACTCATTCCTTCATGCACAGTGAGTGGCTACTGGCCAGTGAAGAATTGTTAAATTGTCCTGTATCTATATGGTCATACGGGTTTGTGTATTTATTCTTTATTCACATTTTAGGTTGCTTTCATATGGTAGAAGGGTAAGGGATGGGGGAAAAGTAAAGTAACTATATACATTCTTGAGATTAATGGATTGTGATGGTTAGTGCAAAAGAAAGACGTGAGAAGGATATAGGTAGAGAAGAAAGTGAAAGGTTTTGGCCACCTGGGGCTCTGTGCCCCAAGAAAAGAAGAAATTAAAAAATAAATAAATACATTTAAAATTAGTAAGGGGCGGGGGGGGGGGGTGTCAGATTTCCTCAGACCATGAGTTAAAGAACTTTCTTTTTCGCCCTCTTCCTTCTGTGTCTTTGTTGGGATTTAATGATGCAGAAAGTGCAGATGATATCACAACCTTAAATTCTATGGAAATCTCAACCAGCTGAATCACAAATATATCTTCTGTTGCCAACACAAATGTGGGCTGCATGTATTGGAAACCCATTTACCACAGCATTCTCAAAGTGATATGTCAAGAGTACAGCAATACATTAGAAACAGATAATTAACAAGACAAAATGTCAAGGGGACACTATAGTCACCAGAACAACTACAGCTTAATGTAGTTGTTCTGGTGAGTATAATAGCTCCCTCCCTTCAGGCATTTTCATGTAAACACTGCCTTTTCAGAGATGCAGAATTTTCCTCATAGAGATGCATTGATTCATTGAAAATCTGCCATTTCGATAATGTCACCAAGGGGACGAAGCCAGCGCTGGAAATAAAGTGAGTTTCATACTTTTATAATGGGGGGGGGGAGGGGAGTGGGCGTTGCAATCCACCTAAATGGTAGGTTAAACACTATAGGGTCAGGAATACAGGTTTGTGTTCCTGACCCTATAGTGAACCTTTAAACACATATCAATGAACGTATTCTAATGGCAATTTAAGAGCTTCAAAACCTTACATTTATGTGTCATACATTTATGAGACTGTTCAAAATAAAAATTATAGCACAAGCTGTTATTAATTCTTAGAAAGTTACCATGTATACTCGTGGATAAGTTGAGAAATTTTAGTCATAAACGCAATGTCTACCTATCCACGGGTCAGTGCTAGTTTCAATAGAATTTCGACTCCCGAACACCATTCTCCTAGCTGTTCGAGAAGTCGAACGGGCAGGGGTAGAAGTTTTGGTGGGATTCGCAGGTTTGCGCAGCCGACTCAGAGATCCATGCAGTTGACGCCCATGTACTGCTGCCTGAGTTCAGGAGACAAGATTGTTTGAACACATGCGTTCGTATATACGAATGGTGGCCACCCAGGGAATGCTTGTTTGTGGTTAACAGCCAGGGGTGGTCGATGATTAAGAGGTGTTAACAAGGGGGACCACACAGAGTCTGTTTGGTAACCGAACAGAAGGGGAACAATTCCATTTGAATGCAGTACGGTAACCGAACAGAAGGGGAACAATTCCATTTGAATGCAGTACGGTAACCGAACAGAAGGGGAACAATTCCATTTGAATGCAGTACGGTAACCGAACAGAAGGGGAACAATTCCATTTGAATGCAGTACGGTAACCGAACAGAAGGGGAACAATTCCATTTGAATGCAGTACGGTAACCGAACAGAAGGGGAACAATTCCATTTGAATGCAGTACGGTAACCGAACAGAAGGAGAACAATTCCATTTGAATACAGTACCCTCAACTTATGAGTCATAGCATATTTTACAATTGTTGGTTAAAACACTGCACTCGACTTATAGACGAGTATATACGGTACCACATCCTCCGAATCTGAAATTTAAACTCGGGCAAGTTATAAGCAGATAATAACTGGTCAAGACACGCTGATTTCTGCCATTCTGGGGTCAAGAAGGATTTTTTTCCCTAGTTTGTTGCAAAATTGGAAGTGCTTCAAACTTTTTTTGCCTTCTTTTTGATCAACAGCAAAAAACAAATGTGAGGAAGGCTGAACTTGATGGACGCATGTCTCTTTTAAGCCTATGTGACTATATACATTGCTTTATTAAGTAGGATATTTCAGAGGTTTATTATTACCAAACTCAGACAGCTATATATTTCAGGATTTTATTTTACTCCTTACCAGTTTCCAAATCCACAATCCATTACAGCTTCAAGAAGAGCCATTTCCTCCTGAGCTGTCCAGCTGGGATCCAAGACTGGAAAATCGGAGGTCTGAAATAATACAATTTTTAAAATAATTTATGCAGAACAAACAACAATGGACAAATGAAATATATAAGAGAACTAAATATAGCATATAGCAATAATTTCTAAACAAAGTATTCCTCTGCAAAAAAAAAAAAAGATATAGATAATATAGGTATGGTTTAAGGATGTTTGGCCCTATTATGAGTAAAGAAATAAATGTTTGTATAATAGTAACCATTTTTTGTGTATCTCAGACTGGAGAATGTGATGGTGGTGTAAAATCTAACAATGACAAGTGCCATAGGCTAGTCGAAACCTAAAACAATTGAATACAATTACCATAATCTCATAGCTGTGATTGCTTTGATGTTTCTTATATTCAAATCCTCTTGAGAAGCACTGAAAGATATAGAAGTGCAATTATCTTAACAATTCTTGGCACAAAACAAAAAAAAGGACTATAACCACCCATCGTGAGAACATAAAGGGACACTTTAGGCACCCAGACCACTTCACCCAGACCCCCGTTTTAAAATATTGTAAAGCACTGTGGAATTAGTTGACACTATATAAATACCAAAAATAATCTTAAAGGGACACTGTGTATAAATCATGCCCCTGCATTCTTACTGCTGAATTCTCTTTCATTTAGGAGTTAAATGACTTTGTTTACACAGAGTTAGGCACCTCTCCCTGCATGTGACTTGCACAGCCTTCATAAAAACTTCCTGTAAAGAGAGATCCAATGGTCAAACTTCCTTTATTGCGCAGTCTGTTTAATTTAGAATTCCTTATCTCCTGCTCTGTTAATAGCCTGCTAGACCCTACTGGAGATTCCTGTGTGATTAAAATTCAATTTACAGAGCAGGAGATTAAAAACTTCTGAAACAAGTTAACATCTGATTGAAAATAAAACAATTTTTTCATGCAGGCTGTGTGAGTCATTGCCAGTGAAAATGTGGCTAGGGCTGCACAAACATAAACATATTGATTTAACATCTACTGGAAAATAATTTATCCTAGAAAAATTCCAAAGGTAGAAGAACCGTCAGCAACATGTCAAATCTGCCAGTCGATGAAAAACATCAGCCTCGGTAATGGCTACGATATTTGTCTATACTCTCCAGAACATAACTGAAAGTAAGATCCCAATGTATTCTTTCTTGCAAAGAAAATTATCTAACACATTATTGCATTCAACTGCACTGCTTCCCATATATTCTTGCATTTGCCCGTAGGGTGGCACACTTATTTTTATTTAATCCATCTAGGTTTTATCTTTTTGTTTCTTATTATTCTATTTACACATATGGCTACAGTTTATCCACTTGTGTTTTTCCATTTACCTGCAAAGGTTAACCATCAAGAGACATATTCAATTTCCACGTTAGGTTACCCAAGCATCCACTTATTGCATATGAGGCATGACATTCATTGCTCCATAATAAAACATATTCACATGTCAGGCTGCCCACATATCAGTACAGTATTGTATGAAGCCACCAGATTGTTGTGTACAAAACTACTATACCATCAAATCATGAGAAAATAAATAATAATAATAAAAAATAGATTTTTAGGCTACTTACTTGCAAGCAAAGAAGGAATTCTGGTGGCCCACATTCAGCACATTTAATATATGGCTCCATGAGGTATGAAGAACAGCCTCGGCATGGTGGTTTATCAAAGGGATCATCTAGAAAAAGGAATAATTCATATATATATATATATATATAAATACTCAAATGAGATTTATGTCCAAAACTGGAAGGATAACAGGCTATTTTATTCAAAACATTCACATTGAAAATACAGAATTCCTTTCTCTTCAACAATCTAATATTGGGGTCAGAAAACGTTATGTAGTGTTGTGCCAAAGTAACAGTTTAAACTTCCTTGAAGTTTCTCGATGCATGAGAATGTTGCAATACCAGAGCAATGCCGAATCACTCACACAGGTGGCAAGGAAATGGTCCGCATCAGCTTTCTTTCAGAGCCTGCTGGGGAATCCTTTGATTCCCCCAGCATTTGGCATGTAAACCTTGTAGGCCATGTAAAATTCCACTTGCATTAGCAACACCAAAACCAACTTAATGCATATCTGCAAGACATTGACTGACTTAGCTGGTCAGCATGTAGTCGTTATTTTGGCATCAGCATGGCCATGTAGTCACTATGGTGCTCAGCTTCTCCTTAAACTTGAAGAATAGTTCAGAGAGTGAAAATTGCAACAGAACTGCCAAATTAGTATCATGTACATAATCTGAGTCCTCATAAAAAATGGTAACAGAGACACAAATATAACCACTAGAGCCTATTAAAGTAGGTATGGTGGGACGAGACTTAGGTTTTTTTTTTAATCAAAACATTTTTTATTGGCTTGCAGACAACAGGGACTGTTTGGCCATCAATGGCCTTGCTCTCTTCTGCTACCACTGAGATAATACGAATGTTGCACTTTATTTTCTGTACAATTTTGGACAGTTACAAGATAAGCCATCCCAGTACTTTTTTTGAGTGCCAGAGAAGTATTTCACTAAAAACTCCTTCAAACTCCTTCACTATAATACATTGTACTGGTTATAGTATCCAATGCTTTCCAATAGGAAGCACTGGGAGGCTATTGCCCAAGCACAGCAAAACCCTGCACCAGTCGAGGGGAATGTTCAGCGCCTTCATGAGTAGCAACGGTCAAATAAAGAGATTACCCATTTCAGTTTTCACACATTAAAATATGTCAGATTGGATTGCTGGGACTCTTTTGCCTTTTAGACCATATGGCAGCTTATGGTCTAAAAGGCAACCCTCATCTTGGCATGCCATTAGCAAATGGAAATGGGGTATGTCCAGTATGTTTTAGTAGTCACAAACCCTGACCATAGTTAGTGTTCACAAGAACCAAAGCAGTCTCACAGCTTAATTCACTGCCATTTAAAATTGAAATCACTGTTTATGTAGAATTAGCCATGCACCCCCACCTAGGACTTACACATCCTCCCTACATACTTCCTGAATAGAGAGACCTTCTTTGCAGTTAATTTAGAATTTCTCATCTCCTGCTCATTTAACGGTCTGCTAGAGTCTGTAGGAACTTAACGTGTGTGATTAAAGTTAAATCTGTTTCCCACTAGCGTGGAAGGACCTATAACAGCCATATTTGTCCCTATTAGCTCAAACTTCACAGGTTACTGACGATATAATAACCGATTCCACATACCACCCTGCTCTCATTCAACTTCTAACATAGCTCTTACCCTTCAGAGTTCCAACACTACATACCCACTGCAACCATGCCTTGCCTTCCACAGTGAGATAAAGCTACAAAACAACAACACAATTATATGACATACCTTTTTATGCTACCCAACACTGGCAGCAAGTTGCATGCTCGGGGAGGGCATTGGACCTAATGTTACTAAATCTGACAGAATGGTACACTGTCATACTTAGGACTGTCACAACCAAATTGCTTGCATACATATGTGTTTTCTTCCCATTAATGTAAAAATATGCTATAGGTGTAAGACATGTTTATTTTGTTATTCTCTAGCAACTCTCACTGCTGGAAACAGAAAAAAATCTCAATAACAACCACATTTGGTAAAAAATGTTTTTAACAGAGCGGGAGTAAAAATGTTTAAGGCAGGGGTTCCCCTGGAACCCACTGACATAGTGTATCAACATCGTAAAAAAAAAAAAAAAAAGTAAAATATTTGCGCTGAGATGTCCAATGGGATTAAAATGTTTTAATCACAAAGAGGTATGGGTGACTGGAAACACAAGGGGTCAAGTGAACAAATATATATATATATATATAAAAATATTCCCCACTATCACTACCACCAGTGTTTTTTCAAAGTGTTACTCCAGAGACCATAACCAGTTTAGTGATTTGTAGTGGTCCATGGTGCCCTGGAAACTGCACATCCAAAGTTCAACCCCCTTTCCTGCCAGAGCTGTAACTCCATCTCCAGCTGCATCATAAGCCTGCCTGAAACAAGAGTTCTGGGCTGGCTAATGTCAATTATGTGCATATTTCTATACACAGAATTCTGTTCATTGACAGAGTGGTCAGCCAATGCTCTCTTCTTCTGGCCTTTGCCGTCATATTTTTGGAATATACCTGCAAATACCTCCCCAGTAACATTT